GCACGCGCACGAGTGCGCGAGGGGGGCTTGGCTGGCGGCGCACGTCTCGCGCGTGGCGGGCTGCTCTCCCGGCAGAGAGGCGAGCGCTTGCCGCGCACGGAGGATGCCGTCGAGCGGCGCGCTCGGCGGCAGGCGCGGCGGAGACGACGGCTGCGTCGGAGGGCTGGGAGGCTCGGGCGAGAGGGGCGGGGGCGATGGTGGGGCGGGCGGCGTCGGCGGCGTCGGAGGCGATTGAGGCGAGGGGGGCGAGGGGGGCGACGGCGGTGGAGGAGGTAGGAGCGGCTGCGGATCGAGTGGCGGTCGTGGCGGTGCTGGCGGCGGTGCTGGCGGCGACGGCGGGGCGCGACCGGGTGGGAAGGGCGGGAGTGGCGGCGGCGGACATGGGGTTGGGCTGCTGGAGACGAAGGGTGGCGGTGGTGGCCGGCGCAGCAGAGCCGAGCCTGGAGGGGGCGGTGGAGGAGCGGCAACGGCTTGGGCAACAGAGGCCTGAGGGTAGGTCGCCTGAGGGAGGGGGTTGTAGCGCGGCGGAGGCTGGACTGGAGGTCGAGGGCGCGGCGGCGGCGGCGGCAGCGGCGACGGCGGCAGCGGCGGTGGCGGCAGCGGCAGCGGCGGCAGCGGCGGCCACAGCGGGGGATGAAGAGGGGCTTGCGGAGGCGCGTGAGTCCGCACAGGCCACGGCAGCGTGGAGGAGCCCGGAAGGACGGCGGCGAGGCGCACGGTGGGAGGCGGCGGCGGTGGTCGTTCCGATGCACAGCACAGATCACCGCCGTAGCCCGCCCCGTTGTCAAAGCACGACCTCTGACAGAACTTCTGCATGGCCCACTCCGCATCCCACTTGCAGAGCTTGATGTACGCGTAGGGAAAACTGTGGCACGTTAAGGAGTTGGTCGCCATCCACTTGTTCCGCTCGTCCGCACACTCTGTGCACGGCAGCAGCGGCGGCAGCGGCGGCCACAGCGGGGGATGAAGAGGGGCTTGCGGAGGCGCGTGAGTCCGCACAGGCCACGGCAGCGTGGAGGAGCCCGGAAGGACGGCGGCGAGGCGCACGGTGGGAGGCGGCGGCGGTGGTCGTTCCGATGCACAGCACAGATCACCGCCGTAGCCCGCCCCGTTGTCAAAGCACGACCTCTGACAGAACTTCTGCATGGCCCACTCCGCATCCCACTTGCAGAGCTTGATGTACGCGTAGGGAAAACTGTGGCACGTTAAGGAGTTGGTCGCCATCCACTTGTTCCGCTCGTCCGCACACTCTGTGCACGGCAGCGGCGGCGGCAGTGACGGTGGTGGCGGCGTGGGGGGCGGCAAATTCGGCGGCGGCGACGGTGGCGGTGGTGGCGGCGTGGGGGGCGGCAAATTCGGCGGCGGCGACGGTGGCGGCAGCCACCACGGCGTTGCAGAGAGGGCGCTGGGTGGCGGCGGAGGCGGGAGAGCCCACGGCAGCTGTGGAGGTGGCGGGCTCGACGGCGTTGGTGGGCCGGTAGCTTGCGCCAAGCCCGGGCCGAAGGACAGGCTCATTGACGATGGGCCGATGTAGCTGGAAGAAGAACCCGGCTTTAGGCGGCAAGACACTCCGCTCATAGGGAGGGTCCGGACGACGGGCGACTTGAAGAGCCTGCACTCCTTTTTCCACCCGACCGGGATGCTGAATCCGGTGGCGTGGCAGAAGCTGTCGGCCACGCACGCGTCCTGGCAACTGAGCTCGCTCAAGCCGAGAAGCAGGTCGTTGGCCGGCGTGTTTAGGGCAGCGTCCCGACACGCACCGTGCGCGTTGCCCGCGAGCGGCCAGAGTGTCGAGGACATGACACAACATGTACGTGTTAGGACGGTTTTTCCATGGCATTCCCCTTCCATGCGCCGTTCACACCTGTTATGAGAAGAAAATACTTCTGTGCCGCTGTGCGCTGCTCCGTGAGAGGTTGAGGTGCGAGCCCTGGAGGCCCTGGGGATGGGGGGAGAGTTCACAGATAGGTTGGTAAGATACAACGCTGGAGCAGAAGCTGCAAGTGAAGTCGCACGCGCAAAAGAGGCAAACAGGCAAAAAGGGCGATGTTGGCGACACAGTGCGCACGTCCCGCTACCTCGGTCGCTCGGTGCAGCGCATCATTGTGTCCACGCCGAGAGGGGGGAAGCATGTCTGTGTGTGAGAGCAACGGCGTTTTGCTTTGCACGCCGATTTCGCGCACAATCGGCGTTTTTGCTTTGCACGCCCGACGGGGGCTAAGCGAGGGTTTGTGTATGTGCTGGTGTACAGTGTCGTGTCCACTAGCTCCGAGTAGAGGGGGCGTCCTGCAGATAATGGGGAAACCCGGTACATGGAGCCAACCATCGGAGAGTATTCTTTAGCTCCGAGTAGAGGGGGCGCTCCGCTGCTAGGGGAAACCTGGAGCGCGGACTAACCCTCGGAGACCCGTGTTACGGCCCTGCGAACGCGCACCCCCGGGGTTAGGGCTCTGTGCCCGGTACCCCGATGCCAATCATCCGGCCCGCTGGGTGCGCTTCTTAGCTCCCCGGCCCTGGATGTGCGGTTGCCGACTGCACTCCAGTGCTCCAATCGAATCTGCCCGAGTGGTCAAGTAAAACTTTGCCTTTCGTGTAAAAGTTGCCCGAGTGGTCTGTGGGGAAAAAACGAAAATCGAGACGGACTTCTTGAACGGCCGGGCAACATGTCTTCCTTACTATTGAGCACTTGAGCACTGGATAGGGTCGATTCCGCATGGTACGGGACCCCTCGATCGTCTCGCCCTCCCTCACTGGTATGTTCATTGGGGGGGGTCATAACAAACACGGTACAGGATCGAGGTGCACGCTGCCGAAGCAGTGTCGTCCCCCCTCTCCCCAACGGCGATGGCGGTGTGACCGATCGAGCTACAAGAGGAGCTTGTTCCTTACTTGGAGCACTTGGAGTGCAGTCGGCAACCGCACACCCAGGGCCGGGGAGCTGAGAAGCGCACCCAGCGGGCCGGATGATTGGCATCGGGTTGCGGGCAAGAGAGCCCTAGCCCAGGGGGTGCGCGTTACTATTATTAATTGATGCTTTCTGCACGGCTGAGCCCCCCCCCCCCCCTCCCCCCCTCCCCCGCGCCCATTCCCTGCCCTCTCCCGCCTCACACTCCGTCAGAGCCCTCTCCCCTCTTGCACAACAGGATTTTTGACAATTAACCAATGGAACTTACAACAATGGGCTTGCCCATCCCGGAGTGGTTCGACCCCACACAAATCCGGAGGGGTGACGAGATGCTGTCGTACGATGGTCTCAGGCCCAGAGAGAGATTTTTGTTCCGGCCCAGTGAGGTAGTGCATCTGACTATCCCGGATCCTGCAGAACAAGCTCCTCTTGTAGCTCGATCGGTCACACCGCCACCACCGCCGACGTCTCCCGGTGAGATGATGGAGAGGGGGGACGACACTGCTCGATCTACCTATACCCTCCCTCTGGGGTCCCTCAGCAGCGTGCACCTCGATCCTGTACCGTGTTTGTTATGACCCCCCCCAATGAACACACCAGTGAGGGAGGGCGAGACGATAGGGGTCCCGTACCATGCGGAATCGACCCTATCAAGTGCTCAAGTGGTCAAGTGTTATCTATCTCCGCGAGTCTCGATCAAAACTGGCCGCTCAGACGAAAGCAAAGCGGAACGCGTCGAAACGATTGCGAGCTTGCCCGAGTGGTCGTTTCGTCCAAAGATGGCGTCCGTGCAGGATCGACCAAAAGGGGGCGCGAGGAAGGTCGTGGTTGCCACGCTCGTCCAGACGGAGCTGGTCGAGTGGCGAGAGATCAACCCGAAGCAGTGTGCCGCTCTCCGCCTCAGTCCCTCTCGCACCGACCCTCGGACTGATTCTCGCGCCGCCACCCCCCTGTGCTGAAGGTATAAGCGCATCCTGAAGCGTCGCGTTGAGCGTGCCACGAACGAGCACATCCGACCGCACCTGCCTCGCCAGCCGGTGCGCCCGCTCACTCCCGCCTGCCTCTCCACTTACCCAACCGCCCGCGTCCAAAACACCGGCTCAATCTGGCACAATCTCACGCCTCGTCGCCCGCCCTCAGTATCTGCACGAGTCACGGCACCGGCACGCCGTCAACCGGCAGCGCGGCCAAAAGGGCCGATTCGCCAACCGCGCGCCCGCCGCGCCCGTCCGAGAGCAGCTCGAGGCGCTCGACTTTCTGAACGAGCAGCCTTACGAAAAGGAGGCGGTGGACGCCTCGTCGGGAGCATCGCGACCGGAATCGGCAGAACTCATGTGAGCCATACATCCTGGCCAGACTGACGGGCACAGGGCCGGCCTGTCCGCTCTCCTCCCTGAGAACGGGGGCGAGAGAGTGTGAGCCAACGCACCCGCACTGTCACTCGGCATGCAGATATCCAGCCTCATCGGCCACTTGCAGTGGCCGAGACGATGCGACGCGCCGCGTAGCCGTGGCTGAGTGGACCTGTACATCTGTGTTGTGCCTCCTGTGTCGACGCAACTCGCGCGATGCTGCGGTTTTAGATCTCGCGGTGACCGGTGTGTCACAACGTCACACAAGTGTCACATAGTCGTCCAAGTGTGCGCACATCGCCGGCTTCGGGGCTTCGCCAACGGCCAAGCGTTTGCGCGGGCCGTGCACACACCGGAGTTTTGACTGTTTATGTATCAAGCCCAAAAGGGCATCTACAGATCTTTTCTATGGTGGCTCGTACAAACATACTCTCCGGAGAGAGAACGTGAGAGAGGCGCGGACACTGCTTAAGAGCTTAACTCGCCGCGGGAAGACGCGAGGCAGTCCCACTCGTTCTCACGCCCAGATGGTTTGCACCCTATGACCTCGCCCGCTTGATGTTGTTCCGCGAGCGCCGGCAACCCCCAAACCACGCCGCCGTACCGAGCCGTAACAGGTGTACACGTATGTCACGGAGCAACGCGTGACGGAACGAGGGAACGTGCGAGCGCTGCGCGCGAGACAGACCACGTACGCATACAGAGCGGCATCTGACGAACACGCCTATCGAGAAGGAGACTGAGAGACAGCAAAATGCGACGTGCGAGAAAGGCGTACCGGCGAGAACGGAATGACTGTTGGCCTGCAGGATCTGTGCTCACGGCACACGCCGTCAGCGCGTGTCCGCCGTGCGCCGGACTGGAGTGATCAGCGTCTAGGCTTGCCGTTCAGATCTCGCCGAGGATCCGGTCCCGATGCCTCGCCTCTTCCGCCTCGGAGATCTTGCCCCCCTCTTTTAGCTGTCTGAGAAAAGCCATTCGCTCCGAGATGCTCTCGCAGCGCGCGCTCTGGGCCTGGGGCGTCGAGGCTGGCCGCGCGTCGGAGGCCGTTGGAGCAGGCGGAGCCACGGGCTTGGCCCGCGGTTGCACGGTCTTTCGTGGGCGTTTGATCTTCACCTCGACGTCAGGCTCGGACACGGCGCCCACCTTCACGCGCGGGCGCTGGCCGTCAACAGGCTCTAGCCAGGCGAGCGGGTGCCATTGCTTCTCCGGTTCGTCGGCGCCGTCGGGGTCATACGTCACCTCGAAACGGCGGGTCTCGGCGTTGAGGGCGGTGACCTCGCCTGTGTACCACGTTCCAGAACGCGGGCACCAGCAAACCGTAACTGAGTCGCCCACGCCGAGTGACGGTTTGCTACCTCCGCTCGACCTCCGACTCATGATGCCATTCATCAGGCCGTCGGACACCAGCGCGGTATGGTGGACGCTCACGCTACCAGCGCGGTAATGGTGGAGCTCACTCTCTCGTTCTGCTCAACAAGTCCGGGCTGACCGGCGCACGGTTTTTTTTGGCTTGTACACCAATACCTCGCTGGTGTCAGTCCGAGCCTCAGTGTTCATTCGAGTTCTTCACCTCCTCGCCTACCTACCTACCTTGGACTCCCCGTGCCGACGGGGTGGCTCCAAGACCAAGTGCTCCACTAACACTCACACACACGGGAGCACTCACAGCTCACACACACGTAGAAAGAAGAATAAAATCTCTCTCTCACACACACACGTAACGCACACACGCAAAACACAACTACGGGCCCAGATCACACACTCACACGGCGTTAGGATCCTGGAGCCCTGCTCACGTGTTTGGGTTGTCCACACAGTCGGGGGCCGCTCGCGACAGCCTCACAAATTCGCGCACTTGCTGCTTCTGCTCCTCCGTCTCGGGCGAGAGGAGCGTGGCGCCGACCCCCTGGTTGCGCAGCGAGCAGTAGACCTGCGTCCGGACGAGCGCCTCCTCCGCGCCGATGTTGTAGAGGTAGGCGAGCAGGCAGGCGCAGACCAGGCCGGCTCTACCCTTGCCTCCCCAGCAGTGGACGTAGAGCACCTCGCCAGTCCGAACGCGCCGAGCCAGCTCGTAGACGAGGCTGCGCAGTGCCGCGACGTCGTCCGCAGGATGCATGTCCCGTATTCCAAAGTGGGCGAACTTCAGTGGCGATTCAGGGGCGGCGGCTGCGGCGTCCGCCGCGTAGGGCTCCAGGCCGGGGAGCGGCTCAACAGCGACGCCGCCGAGCACCGTGCTGCCATCCTGCGGCGGGACTTCGGCCTGCAGGCACACAAAGGTGCCGCAGCCCTCTGAACGGATGGCGGTCAGCCGGGACAGCGTCGAGCCGCGGCCGCTGCCGGGGTGGCGACCTTGCATCACGAGGCCCGGGATGGCCCAGTGAGCAGTATCGGAGACAGAGTGCGTCGCCTGCAGCGCCTCAAGGTCTCGCAGATCAGGCAGCGGCGGAAGCGCGAAGGATGCGGCGAAAGACGTGGACATCGCAGCAAACATCGATCGATCGATTGCACACAACGCAGAACGCGCGACGTGTAACTCCCTCCGCCAAGTGTTCGGCCCTTTAGCCTTCCTTTTCTTTTTATGGACCTCTCGCGGAGCTCCCAGAAGGGTAAGTTGGACTTATTTGTCCCCAAAAGGGCCCTGCAACACCATAAACCTATTTTCGCCCCGTTTTTCGCCTCCCTGGGGATAGGGTTAGGGAGGAGTGAGGGAGGGCGTTTTGGCGCGAGTCAGTGGGGCTGTTGTGTTACAGTGGCCACAGACCCCCAAGCCCTATCCGGGTAGGGGCCCGAACCCTGGATGTGAGGCTTAATCACCACACTCGGTGTGAACACTGCCGCCGTGTACGTACGTCACCATCGCCTCTCTTCATCGCCGATCTCGCCGACGCCGCTCGCCGCTCGCCGCCGCCCTGCCTTGCCCTGCCCTGCCCTCGCACAAACAAACCAACACACACAATCACACATACACATACAAACTCAAACACACACACACACACACAACTCCTTGCCCCCGCGCCCTCCCGCCCCACGCCCTGCGCCTCACGCCTCGCGTCCCACGCACGCCCCGCACCCCGCGCCCCCACACCCCTCACCTCGCGCCTCACGCCTCCCTCCCCACCCTCTCAGGCATTTCTCATCCCCGCTACTCGCCGACTCCTCCTCCCCCCGCATGACCGACGACTACCCGTCCTTCGGCGACTCCTCCCTCCTCGGCGCCAACGTCTACTACCGGGGGACCGTCGCCCTCGGGCGTACTGGAATGATCCCAGCGGCACACGTCTACGAGGGGGGGCTCCGAAAGGTCGGCATGCCTGGCATGTCGGGCGACTACCTCCAGTATCGTAGTCTTTGTTAGTATCGAGGTCTCGCGAGTTTTGGGGGTTCTCGGCGCCGCGACAGCACTGCGAGCAGCGCGATGCCACGGCGCTCGGCCTGCTGAGAGAAGACCTTCCCGGACGGCAGTGACAAGTTACCCGACATCAATCGTCGACGGCAACCTCGAGAACTGCGCCTCCAAAGTCGCCCAGATTCGCCTCTCGCGGCGCGCTGAGTTAGTATCGCCGGTGCGCCAGCAGGCTCTGCTCCACAGCAGGGCATGCCGGACTGGCTCCTGCTAGCCGTGCGTCCTGGTGGCATCCATAGCCAGCTCAGGTAGCCTCAGGAGGTCGCCTCGCGCACGACGCGGCGTCGCACAGCACCGCTCCGCGTTACTACCGAGTTAGTATCGTCGACCCACAGAGACTGCTCTTCTGTAGGTGGAGCCGACAAACGCCGGCCGGGTCGGCCCCGCCGCCCCCATCGCCGCCGCCGGGGCGGCGGCGGCCTCGGCGGACCATCCGGCGCGCCGCGCGCCCGACGGGGAGGCGTTCACCACCCCTGGCTCCTCACCCCGCCACGCCTTCGTGCGGACGCCGTGGCACCCACCTCAGGCGCCGCTCGGACTCGGATGACGGCCGCCCAAGTGCTTGGCTCGTGCCAAGCCGACCGGCAGGCGATTCCCACTCACTGCTAGGCTAATCTCGGGCTGTCCTGCGGCGGTGTGGTGCCGTGAGGGGCGCCGCCCCCAAAACTACGACTATTAGTACCGTGCGGGAGCAGTGCATTAATTCTGTGAAAAATCCAAATCTGCTCCGTGGAACTTATTGGGCTAGGATCATACGTCCGGGAGGCCCCCCATGCGTGCCGTAACGATCGACAGCGATCTGGCTACTCTGTTCACGTTCACACCTCGATCCTCGTAAACCCCCCATAACCCCGATACAGGAGAGGTAGGCAGGTCATTGACCTCCTCCCCGCATGTCCGCATCGGGGGAGGGCGGCTCGTAACTGAGGTTCGCCGTCAGGGACAGTCGACCTCCCCTCAACCCGACGAGAGGGGGCCCACGGGGAAGAGACCGAACGGCCGGCCGGATTACTAGGACGCCGAGGCCCCGCACGGGGAAGAGTCCGAACGTTCGGCCGGGCAACTAACTAGGCCATCGAGGCCCCGCCCCTCTTTCCACCCGGCCATTCCAACGGCCAGGCCGCTCGCTTAAGGCTGATTGGCTAGACGAGCGGCCTACCTCCAACGGGGCGGTCCGGAAACCGTGGAACCTGCCCGCCAACCTGTCTTTAAGGTTGCTCCCGGCCCAGTGGGGATTTTGGCCTACTCAGTGATCGTCTAAGGGGCCCTAAATGGCCTGCAATGCCATATCTTTTGTGCCTAGCTTGTAGAGCACCTTAAAAAAGTACTATGTCTTGCAGTGAAAAGTTTTACGATGACGCGGGGGTCCGTGGTGAGCAGATTCCCAGATTCTCCAGATTCCCCCTCGAAAACCGCCCCTTTTAATTCATTGCGGCCGCGGGCCAGCTCGGATTACTTTTCACTGCAAGACATAGTAGTTTTTTGGTGTTACGGTGCCTACAAAATATCCGAGATCATATGGAGCTGACCACAGGGTTTGCGGCGATCACTGTCCTACCAGCGGACACAGTGGGCCGCGGACACCCGTCCGTGAATGACCTTAAGGTCCGACCTGTGAGCTCTGCCTGCGCTCGGCACCGGGCACCGCCTCGGTATACAAAAGGCGCCTGCGGGCGGACCCTCACGGATCACGCTTCACGGATCACACTCGGTGTGACACTCCAAGTGTGCTCCAAGAGCCAAGAAAAAGTGTACGAGTGGCATTTTGCGAGACATACGGAGTCGGACGCTCTCGCACTCCCCATCTCCAAAGCTCCAAGAGGTAATGGCAAGGAGCAGAAAAAAAAGAGTAATTACTGTTATATGATAGTAATAGAGCAGTTTGGTCGGAGGGCGCCCGGGTCGCCCCGGAGCGGCCCCGCGCGGGGAGGTGGGTGGAGGGCGGGCGCCACGCCGTCGGGCAGGCCGCGCGGGGACGCAGCCGGGGCCAGCGCGCGGCGCTAGAGGGCCGGGCGCAAACTTGTTGCACCTGCACCTGCACCGGCACCTGGGTGCAGCGAGTTTTGGTGGTTCGAAAAGCGGAGCGCGCAGTCCGTTGTGGTTCGAAACGCGATGCCTCCGTTGGGAGACACGGACGGCGCCGGCGGGAGCGACGAGGCCGGCGAGGCGCCGCACTCGGTCGCCGTCCTGCCGGTGATCAGCGAGCCGGTCGAGCGTGACCAGTTGCACTCGAATCTGAGCACCACATTGAGGCCGTTGGTGGAGAGGGAGCGTCGCGAGCGAGGTGACGAGGATGGAGCTGTGGGTGTAGCCGGTCGAGGCATGGCCGCGTCGTCCACGACGAGGCGTCGGAGCAGGGCGAGATGTCGAAGAGCCGTGACGGTGATTCTCGGGCCGAGGCCGATGTCTTATAGGGAGGAGGTGACTTGTCAGCGCCTTCGCAACGCGGTTCAATTGTGGACGACGGTGTGTACACGGAGATGGGATGGTGCGACGACATGCGGGACAAGCTACGATTGCACATGCTTCTGCATGCTACGTGTTCGCACCGCGAGGTCGAACCGAGGTTTATACGGGTGTGGCTCCAGGGCCCGGTGCTCCAGGATGCAGCGGCTGCGAACCGGCGCAGGTGTGTCCGCAATGCGCTCACTAACGTGGCTGAGCAGGAGCATGAGGACGGCAACCACGCACGAATGTCTGTGCTGTACGCGCGAGCAATGCTGGCCTATCATTACACACTGGCTGCGATCGGGAAGCACATGCATAACCTACAAGACGGAGAGCAGAGTACGGATTCAGATCTTGATGAGGCGGGAGAGATCTTGGTTGCCGCCGAGGATCTGCTTTCCCAGCTGGAATCAGTGAAGCAGATGTGGTACAATGCCGGTTTTCAAGGCAACTTTGCGGAGAAGAGTGTGCGTGACGCCTTTGCGGATCGGACTAGTAGTGTGCTTGCCCTGCTGGCAGAGGGTCACTGCACACGTTGCAGAACCACTTGCGAAATACGACTGCCGGTGCGAGGTTTTCGGAGATTGCTGGTGACATGTCTGCAAGGACCAGCACGACAGAGCGGCAAGAGCGAGACAACAAGGAGGCGGGGGCGTCTTCGGCTGCTGAGGTTACGCAGACCGACTGCAGCAAGAGGCTTTGAGGGAGCTTACACACTGACGGCGTTGTCGAGGCTCGAGCGTGTGTGTGTTTGTGTGCGGGGTTGATGTGTGTGGGCTTGGTAACGTGTGGTTATAATCTGTTCACCATACTGACGTAGCCTCCGGGGAAGAGATATAACCATGGATGACTCGAGTAGCCGAACCCACCGAAATCGGGCTGAAACTAAGATGATGCGGTGGGCCCTCTCGCCATGAACGCGTGAAAGGTGAATGGTCCTGTCGTCGCTGTCTGTCCGTTTCTCGAGATCTCGACTGTGTCTCTCGACTGTGTCTGGGGTTGTGATTTTCGTGAATAGTCCTCCTACCTTCCTAGCGCTGCTGCGCGAGGGCGGCGATCAGTGCCACCGCCCGCCGCTGTGCTTCGCGCACGACCGCCGCCTCAAACGCCGCCTCCGCCTCCTCGCCCTGCGGCGTGTAGCTGCACGGCGGCGCGGGCTCCGCCAAGTCGAAGGGCAGCGCGCCGGGGGCGGCGGCGCCGTGGGAGAGGCCCAGTAAGCGCCCGCCCGCCCGCCCGCCTTGGGCGGCAACCTCGTCAGCGTGGCTGGAGAGGAGTCGCGAGCCGACGAAGCAAGTGATCAGCACGCCCACGATGTCCATGACCACCTTTGAGCTTTGTGGATGAGGAGTTCAAACAAGGGGGGGAGGGGAGAGGGAGGGAAGGACCCGCGGACCTGGATGGTTGCTCCCGCGTGCGCCGGGTCGAGCCGCACGAGGTAAAGCCCCATCGGCAGCGCGGCGCCGACGACGACGGCGATCGCGACGATGCAAAAGGCCTATCCTCGGAGTGCTGCGGGACGCGGGTCGGGGGTCGGTGCGGGAGAAGCGGACCCGCGAGCCGGGCTAGAGGGGCGGGCCGAGGTTGCGACTGTGGCGGACTCGAGGTGGGCGTGCGGCGCGTCGTCGGGCAGGAAGTAGTCGACGCGCCTGCGGGACGGGGCGTGGACATTGTCGCGGAACGGGTCTCGCGGGGGACGGGCGGGGACAGCGAGCCATGGGGGGGGTAGGGAAGGGGTGGGGCGGGGTGGGAGGGGGGGAGGGAAGGGGTGGGGTGGGGTGGGGGGTGGGGGGCGGGGCGGCGGACGAGGCGCGACACGCGCCAGTAGCTCAGCGCCGCGAGGAGTGCGGCGATGCAGAGCCCGACGCGCAGCTCGGAGAGGAGGAGGCTGCCCATCGAGGCGCGGCGCGTTGCGCCGGTGGCGAGGCCGCGGATGACGAGGACGGCCGCCTGGACAGGCCATGGACGTGTCATGGACGTGTCATGGACGTGTCATGGACTTGGTCGGCCACGCTCTACGAGACGTGCGGCCGCCTGGTTGCCCGCGTTGCCGCCCGCGCCGACGAGCATGGTAAGGAAGGCGATGAGGGTCGGGTGGCGGTCGAGGAGCGACTCGTACCGGCGGAGGATGACGGAGGAGGCGGACTGGAAGAGGAGCAGCGCCTGCCGATGCCGAGGCAGGCGAGCGAGGCAGGCTCAGCAGAGGCAGAGGCTAGGGGCCAGGTGTGCGCTGCAGGGGTCAGGCGCGGGTGCACATGGCGAGGAGCGGTTAGGGACCGGGGAGGGTGTGAGCGAGAGGGGTTAGCTGGGGGAAGGGGGGGCGCACACACCACGAGCAGCAGGGCGCGCCCCTTCAGCTGGGCAAAGAGATCTCGCAGCCACGCGCCGGGCCAGGCGCGTGGGGCGTCCCCGCCCTCCTTCGCCATCAGAGGAGGCATCCACGTCGGAGCGCGCCGAATGGGCGGGGCGCCATCAAGCTGCCCGCCCTCCGGCGGCTCCATGGGCTGCTGGCGCTGCTCGCCGTCCGCCGCGGCCTCGTCGACAGCGTGTGGCTGCTCGCCGAAGCGCTCAAACGAGGTGGGCGAGCGCGCAAAGAGGCGCCAGCCGCCCCACCGTCCACGCGCGGCCTCGCGCCGCCGCTGCTCGTGCTCGGCGCGGCCCGCGTCGTTTGACCCGTCGTCCTGTCCGGCGCTGCGATCGGACAAGGCCAGCTCCGCCGTGATCGTGTCAACGAGGACAACCTCGACGTCCATCTGCCTCTCCACCTCGATCGCGTCCACAAGAGAGGCCACAGAGTGAGATCGCGAGACGGGCGCCGACTCAGCGTCCTCGGCGAGCACTGCCTCGAGCGCGGTCTCAGCCTTCGCGAGCCAGCCCGGCGTCGCACTGCCGGCCGGCGGAAAACCGACGCCGTCAGGCAGTGCCGGCGGAAAACCGACACCATTTGCCGGCGCTGCCTTTT